ATAATGTCATATTTCCTGTTGACGGTGTTTGTACTTGAATAAAATTTGCATTATTAATCGATGCTTCTAATATACCTGAATTACCAGCAACATAAACAGTTATATTAATTTGCATTGATGATTGAAGAATTTGTAATGGATAATAAAATGTTGAATTTGGACCTAAATTTCTTAGATATGGATCTGCATATGGTACTTTATGATTCATAAAATTGGTGGCATTTACATTATAAGATGGTATGGGTATGCCAAATGTTAACGGTATTGAACTTTGACGAACTTGATCGATAGCAAGTAATTTTGGTGATGGTCGTGGAAGTTGAGCAACAGGTGATGATGAATTAAACATTGTTGTTGTATCAATTAATATTTCTTGTCTCATATCTTCTAATAAACCCCATGAACCTGATGATGTTGTTTGAATAGCCCCAGCAACAAACCAATTCAATGGTTGAAATCCATATCGATACCAACCATTTAAAAATGAGACACATAAATCAGTCATACGACTATCACGTGTAGCATTGGTTTTTGCTGATAATGAACAACTTCCACAACCTGAAGCTGTATCTGGACCTCCTTCATAACCATGAACAGCTAATCCATACCAAGCAGAATAAGCAGCATGTACACCAATTGGTGCTTGTTGACTCCAGCCCTGTTCAGGTAAATATGTTTGTATGCTAGAATTAAGTCCTTCAATAACTTGATCTGTTGTTAAATTTGACCATGTTTTATATTGTGATAAATCAAAATAAGGAGCAATAGCAATACCATGAAGAAATGTTGATGGTGGACCATAAACTTTATTTAAATAATCTAAACCTTGTGTAATTACAATTGGATTTACACTTTGACCAGCTAAAATTGGTCGAATTCGTTTCCATGGACCGACATTTTGTTCACCAAATACAGTTTTAAATAGGTCAGATATACGTTTGATTTGTGATGCTGTTCGTCGAAATGCCCAATAACCAGAATTAGTACTATTATCGTAAGCTAATTTTAATGGATCACCACGATTCAAAACAGAATCATTTGCAGCTTGAAGATTTGCTTTAGCTTGTGTAAATATATAATTCCATACTTCATTTGAATATTCAACATAAATATTAATTGTTGGTTTTAACTGATTTAACATTAATTGTGCTACATTTAATACATAATCATCCGTTGCGCCACAAGGTATGTTAATCCAAATATCAACATTTGAATTGAGTTGATTTACAATTAATGGGATTGTATCCCATGGATTGTGTTTAGGTGTTGTATATTGTGGCCAGTATAATGGGGTCGTATCATTCCAATTAACATCTGGATTATTATTTGTGCTTGTCCAATCCATAAAACGTATAATACTAAAACGTGATAAATGTGCTAACATTAAATTAGTAATATTTGATTTTGATGCCAAATCGTAACCAGGCTGTAATACACTTACATTTTGTAAACCAGGACCACTTGTATTTGTGAAACTAAGCATTATTTGGGATGCACCTTGTGGTATGATTACCGAAGCTGATAGAATATTTGTTGAAGGATTGTACGTTTTATTTGCTATACGTCCTGCGGATGCACCACCGGACACAGTGACTTGTGCATTACCTTGAGCAGTTAATAAATATGTTCCACCCATATCGACAGCATTGGTTGATAACACCATTCCAAAATCACTTGTAGGCCATCCAGTTATTGGATCAAATGTGGCATTTGAATCCCAAGGACGAGATGGACTACCCCATACACGACATTGTTTTACTAGATCAACGTATGGTAGACTACGACTCCAATCACGTAGACCATCCAAACCTGCACCAATAGCAACATCTGCATTAATATTTGGTATTGAAATCAATATTGAAATAATGATACACCAATGCATTGATATATGATCTAAAATAAATAAATAAAAATATCTTGGATAATATTTTTCTTCAATCAGTAGACAGTCAAGTCGATTGCCCAAAGAGTAGTGAAAAATATAATCAGTTTTTTAATGCATAAATACAAATGACATTTTAATTTTGTCTTAAACGAAATTCACAAGTGACTAAATGGTATTGAAATTGAGTAAACTGCAACAAGCAATAAAAAATTACATATTACTGATTTGTAGAGCTTCATTTCTAGTCATAAATTGCACTCAATGCATAACTTTTCTCGATCGAAAAACAACATTGAAATAACTAAATTTACATGTTGTTGTTATTAAAATGAAGAAGAAATTGTATGCTTTAGCTCTATATTCTTTACGTAGAATGAATATGACATGCATTGATAGCAAACCTTGCCATGAAATAAACCGACTGTCGACCATTCACCTTTATGAAACGAAACAAGTCAATAATCATTACTTTTTTTCACAAGAGAATAGTATTCAATTTTTCTCTCTCTTTTCTCCATCAATCTTACGATATCGAGGGAAAAAAATTTTGTTTTTTTTTCATACAAATCATTACAAGCAGAGTAAATAACATATATTTTATGTTTGACAAGTACAATCTGATATTTTTGATCGAGTATGACAAAACATCATTTTTTGTACTCAAACATAATTACAATTGATGTTTTTTTCTTTAGCATCGTCTGCTCTCTTCATATCACTACAAAAATTGAGTCATCTATCAAGTTTTAGAAGAATAAGCTTGCATTAAAATTTTTGTGATATATTTCGCCAACAAAATCATTTCATAAATATGGTTGCTTTGAGAAATCTCAACAGTTTGTTTTAAACAAGTGTATTTAGGTTTTCTAGATTATTTCTTCTGCATGTTTACCTACATCTCACAAATGTAGACGACAATGAATGGATACAACATTGATAATCAAAAGATTCTCATGACATATACAAATAGGCGTACTAGACATTTGAAAAAAGTAATATATAAGTTTGTCGAGCTGACAAAGTATTCTGTTCATGGAATCAGTAGAGATGATTATCGTAAGACAGAATTATGATATTCATTCACTTAATATTGACCATTATGATACTGCCTGTAACTAAGAATATTACAGAGTGTTTCAAAAGTTCCGTCGAAAAAGAAATATGAATGTGTCTTTAACCATTCCAACGATTTATCTAAAGTTTTTATAGTTTCATTTTATATTCATTGAAATTTTATTTCACATAAATTCGTCTATAATAGATGTATAAATTGTTCACATATCTGCGCAATACATAAATTTATCATTTTTGAAAATAACTGTAAAACCATCATATAAAGGTCAGTTTGAAATCTTTTTTATCCTAGTATGAATTTTCATTTTCAACTGAACTAGGTATTTGATAAGTCTTATAAAAACTATTCTCTGGATGTGGCGTGTTGGAGTGAATATACTCACTAATGTATACAACTATACCCGTCTAGATCTATTCTATGCTAGATTTTGAGCTGTGTAACAGAGGTCTTCACAGGTTTACTTTTCATAGACCTGGCCTGCCAATGGCAGACTATGAACCTCTTCAGCCTACTGTGCCTGTCTTTGATTATTGTCGGTCTGACCTGCCTGGCTGTCTGTTTAGGCCTATGTACTTTTTTTGCATACTAATATTAGGATAATAATCGAGTGGAAGTAGAAAACTGTCTCTATAAGAAAATAAGGAAGTTGCTGATATCCAAATATTATGATTAAGTGAAAGATTTATTGATTTAATGAGGTATGTAACTGTTGAATAAAGACAAAAAGGAAGCTTTTAACATTTAGAAAAAAAAACTGGTTTTGAGTAAAAATCTTTTTACTTAATTTGATGAATTATTTGAAGAGGACTTATTATGTCCAACAGCATTACGACAATATAGATATGAATCAGGAACATAATACTTCGTAAACGCTTTATGTAAAACCTTAATAACAACCAATTAATAAGTGCGATCAGTTACCCACCGAAACGGATAAATAAAATAAATAAATAAATGGACAATGCACAATGTAATTATAATTTGTTAATAGTCCTGATTGTGCTCAATCAAACTGATACAAAAAGCATTTCTTATCTTCCAGAGCAAAGATTCTCCATATTATATTTTGATATCTGCATTTTCTACTCAAAAATTGAAGTCTTTATTGACACTTTAGGAAAAATACGACGGGCAGGCAGGCAGGCAGATCCAATAACTTGTTTTGACCTCTGTTTCACATCAACAAGAACAAAAAGTTAAAGAAAAAAAGAGTATAATACGTTTCAATTTCATGAATGCGTTTCATACAAATATTGATATTTGTTCAATTTTGTCATCATTAATAGGCTAATCAAGATTTATCTACAATAATTCATCAGAGTGTCTAGAGATGATTATTAAATATCTTTGTTAATTTAGAGTAAAAATACAGTGAAAACAGTAGTTGAATGGTATCTGTTACCCTTCAAAACCACGCAATCATTGTAAATGATGTCGTTTATCATCATATTCGACTACTTTATAATATATTATATAACGTTCATCATAGAAAAACAGCTATTTTTCGATGTTTTTATATGGACTTCAAACTATTTTGTGTGCTTGGAAGAAAAACTTTACTTTTGTCTTCAGAAAAGAACTGGAACGAAGACTCTAGATCATAGTTATGAAACTCCATTAGAAGAAATAGTAAAATGTTTAAAAAAAAAAGATTTATTTATACTAGCAAATAACAAAAAAATACTCATGAATACTCTATTGTTACTTTCCTAAGTACAAAGAACTGCTGTTTTCTTCTTGCATTCATCTTCCATCCACCCTTTGAAGTTAACCACCTGGATTATTCTTATTCTTTCCGAATAAGATCGAGTGCTCGTGATAGATAACCACTTCGATATCGATTTTCATTTTGAACTAAATTGATCACATCACTGACAACATCATCCACATTCACCCTAGTATTTCCTTCATGTATACAATTATCACCTATATCTCCAGGACTCCATAGTGCATGTTGCAGATTGAATACTTCGACCCAACGTCAAAAATTGAATGACAATAGACGACAACCAGGTGGATTGATTTCATAAAGAATCGCCCCTAGTCACATGACAAGAGCATTCGCTGTACCAGCTCCAGAACTCCAATAAGAATACGAATCGATCGAGCCATACATGCTGTTTCATAAAGATCATCGTTAAAATTGAATTGTTTTGGCCAAACACGTAAATAAGGATTTTTATGATCAGGAAATGCTTTCAATAGTGCTTCGACTAATTCATCAGCATTGGTTAATTCTCGACGACCGATACCAGCTCGATTCATAACAGCAATATATTCTCCACTAAAGATTGTTTCTATTGATGATATACTAAACGATTGATTTTGACATTGTTCATAATAGAAAGGTACTTGCTCTGATTTATGACTCTCTTGTAATTTCTTTTGAATGGGTGTCAATTCAAATTTGGAATGTAATTCAAAATTATTCAATATCCATTCTGAAAATGCTAAATATAAGCTCGTCGATACTCTTCTATATTAAATGAATAATAACCAACTAATCTATTCGGTTCCTGATGAATACCCCAGCAATGCGATCGTTTGTACGGTCCTCCCGTGAAAACCACATGTTTGAACATGACTGTTACTTGATTAAATGATTCATAAGTTAATAACGGATAAATGAAAAACATAGCATTAAATACATTAGTCCATCGAGCATTATGTTGATAGGTTCCATCTGAAAGTCGTTCCATAGCTAGTCATACAATACGTCCATAATCTATATGCATTTTGGATGAATAATAAAGTTGAATTTTATTTGGATCAATATATGTTCGATAAGATTGTATTATAGAGAGAGTCCCAAAAAAAGAGAACCAGCTCTTTCAAGAAATCCATGAGCATAATTTGATTCAGAAGCACCACCCATATGAATAGGTTGTGTTCAAATGGCTGAAACACCAAGTTGTTTTATCATGAAGAATATGGATTTGAATTTCACCATGTGAAGATATGAATCGGTTTCGAGTCATCGCTTAAGCTTCTGATGGATGACGATAATAATAGTATGTATTGTTGGATGAAATGAAATAAATATTAGTTAGAAAACAATATTCATGACTCTCAGGCTCTTTAGACGATGTATTCGAACATTTCCAAGATGAATATGGATAATCTTTGAAATTCTTATTTTTAGTCCATTGAATATAGTTTTTATTGAATGGTTCTATAGTATATTTTCCATTGGTTACATGAACTATTTTGGAAAGATTTGCTCGTATTGATCTAACTGATTGCAAATACGAATGCATTTCTTTGTAAAGAGATGAAGATATTCATCCATCTTCTGTGCTATTGTTCAAACACAATTGTTCTTTCCGAATATTGCTTGTAATCAGTGAAATTGATGTCAAATCTACTGTGTAGTAGCAATAGGCGATCAATAAAGAAGTAACGAATATGCACAGAATGAACAGTATTGTTTTTCGACCGATCATTAGGTGGACCTTATTTGTTAACTTAGTACTTGATTGCATGATAGAAGACAAGTTTAGAATAATAACAACAATAATAAGACTGAAGAAAATTCTTTTCTTTTTTTACAAATTTGGTGTTGTTAAGGTTAGTTCTAGTTTATTTTTTGCTTCACTATGGAACAATATCTAAATTGTTTGAGCGTCGTTCTAAATGCAGAGTAAATTTTTCTTAACTATACGTCGAATTAATTCGCTATTTCGTCTATAATTTTGATGATACTATATCTCTCAATCAACTTTCTTTTCTTCACATTGCAAGCCTATTCATCAATAGGTATGCACATTGTCACTTGATTCATCTACATGTTGTTTCTTTCCTTTTGTATGCAAAACAGCTGATCCATATCAAACATGGATAAAATAGATTGATTACCTTGTTGCATTTTTTTTTTCTACTTATCGAGTGATTCAATTGTTTGTTCGTCATATAGAGAAAACATAGAGCAAGGATGTTAGAGCAAAGAAGAACAAAAAAAATGTATTGATAATAAACTGTGCATTATCATACATCAAAGTATTCTGATTAACGACGTGGGAAAGATCTTTTTTCTAACAATCCTTTCATTATAATTCTGACAGACGTTGTGATTCATGGTGTCGTATTAATCTTTTCTTTCTCAATAGCATCTATAAATGCCATTTTTTTAAGATTTTGTTTTCTTGAGCTATACGACATATAGAAACTAATTTTATACTAAATTAACGCACATCCATTCCAAATTTTATAACAATGATTCGAAACATAATATTCTTTATAAAGTGTTTATTTACTATTCAAACAAATATACAATGTTATGGCATGTGCTAGAGTCGTGCGCCACACGAGAGTACTGACGTATAATTGATCTAACAAATCAGTATTGAGTTTCTCTTTGATTTTTCAAATGGTTGTATATATGAATGAGCTAGAAAGAAAGAAAGATACTTCAAAAGAAACACAAATGAAAGAGAAAAGCGTCAGAAGAATGGTGAATTCTCGTTTCGTCGAAAAGTAACACATTAAACTCATTTACTTCAAAGTACATCAAAGCAATGCGGGTGAGGGTGATTTTTCGACGAAACGAGAATGAACCAGAAGAATATCAGAAGAAGAGAATATTTTGAAAAAACCTATAGGTAAAGGAGAGGATATATATATATATGTATGTCGTACTTGTCATGTGTGCTACATAAAAGAAAGTGAAGGACTATGTTTGTTACCGTATAGTGTCATGCTGAACCGTATATATTTTGTCTCGCTTAAACAAATACAACAAGACTATTTTAAACTCATTGTCTTACTAACGAGGGTAGGTTCCCAAAGTGTGGACCACCGTTTCGAATGGGAGATATGTCAGATTGTAGAGCTCAATGAGCGGATTCTCATGATATGGTTCGTTTTCCTGATAGAACTTCAAATTTGAAAAACCGATCGATTTTTCTAGTGAATATCTATATTTTCCATAAGTTTCGAGACAATTGTTAGAAATTTAGAACTTCAAAGGTATTTCATTTTTAGATGATCATGTTATAGAATACAGGATGACGCATGCGATGATCTATTTTTATCTTATTTGAAGCGTAAGTTCAAGTTCATCTTCTGAATACATAACAACATTTTCTCTCGGAAGTGCTGAAATACCTCCAAGTGTAATAATTCAACAATTAAAATTCATAGCAATGGTGAAAATAAGTTTTACATGACAATACTGTTCCCCGACTCTTTAAAAATAATATAAAAATAGATCATCGCATGTGACATTCTGTATTCTATAACATAATCATCTAAAAATGAAGTACCTTTGAAGTTCTAAATTTCTAACAACTGTCTTGAAACTTATGGAAAATGTAAATATTCACTAGAAAAATCGATCAGTTTTTCACATTTGAAGTTCTATCGGGAAAAAGAAACCATACCACGAGAATCAGCTCATTGAGCTCTGCAATCTAAGATATTTCACATTCGAAATGGTGATTCACATTTGGGAACCTTCCCTCGTTAATTTAAATGCGTATATATATTTCTTTTTATCAGTTCCTTGATACAACCAAGTCTTGTTACTGACATATTTTTGAATGATCTTTATTTTTAATATATTTTATACTTTTAAACTAGTGCTCGCGTATATCTTCTTATTCTCAGACATTGTTAAAAAGGAAAGAGCCGATGTAACTCTAAATGAGACGTATATTAGGATAAAGTCACAATGTATAAGATCCAATATTAAATTTTGACAGAAGACACGCATTAGCTGGTGGTTTTAACATCGTGAGAAATCGAAATTCATGATAATCGGTTTAGATTTTTGAGTAACTATTAAAATTTCAATGAAGCACAAAAATATTCATCTCGAAGTGCAAGTACATTTTTTTTCAAGTACAAGTAAAATACTTTCAAAAAGTACGAAAAGTTCAAGGACAGATACTTTCATCTGATCTCTGTTTCAGAGATCAATTCAGCGTCGTTTATATTGAATTGATATTAGAGTGAAGATTGCAACAAAATAACATGGACACTCATGCCCACCCACACACCTACGTTCGCACCCCTGTTGGTAGTACTAAGGTGCATATTGTTATCAGTATTTTTTTTTACTTTAGAAAAAGAAAAGTTAAGACTCAAGATTGTTTTCTATTTAAATAATTTAAATTGAAAACCATAACCGAAATTCAATATAAGTGTCTCAATTTCAAGTTTATGTTCGGAAATATTAAGACACGTATTGGGCTCAAGTGCAACAAATAAGTTCATTCTAACCTATGAATTTTATTGTTATATGATTGTTCAAGCAAAGAGAATAAATTCATACAATACATTTAGCTGTCATTTTCTTTCTTTTTTGTGTTAGTATGTATCTGAAGGTGGGAGTCAGTGTGGATGTGAGTCTAGAAAGTATTGGATTTGTTTAATGTCTTTTTTCACACCCACATCCACACCCTAAATTATTGTAGATACGTTTTCAAACATTATTTGTACATGATTTTGAGAGTCAACAATCTACACATATGACATAGAACCGTTATCCACTTTTCACTTGAAAATAATACCAACATATTGTCCATCAGCTTTTCTTGTTATTCCAAATATGAATTGATACTGTATACGCGGAGAAAACAAATAGTTGTAGTCCGTATTTCGATTAAATCATTACCATAAAAACGTATCTTTACAAAAATAATGATATATGCTGAAAGTACGTGGAGTTTTCTATTATCCTGCATATTTTCATTTTCGTTTACACATATATATTATCAAAAAAAAAAAATTGAATGCAATGAAGACATTCTCATGTCCAGATTCCCGCAGATTTGATTTTGTTACTGTTATCATAATCAGCTTTTAAGATTTTTTATCACGACATAATTATCTTTTTGAAAAAGCCATCTTGAAATTCTCTATCACTCTGTAAATTTATCTATTTTCTTGCAATCATTTATTGATAAATAATTTGAATACAATTAACCTATCCTCAATTGATAAGTACCAAAAATCTCCATTTCTTTTGTACTTTTGCAGTTTTATTTTTGAAATTATTATTCTTATGGGGAAAGTTTTTTTGAAAAGCAATTATGGATTCTGATGGAGCTGGAAATTCTCTATTGTTCTGCATATTTTTGTCTTGCCTTGCATTTATATGCTGCAGCACATAAATGCAAGACAAGACAAAAATATACAGGATGATAGAGAATTTCAAACCCTATCAAAATCCATGATTACTTTTTTAAAAAGCTACTTCTGTAGTGATGAAAAATTTTGATGACAGTGACCAAGTCAAATCTGAGAGAATTTGGACATGCATGTGCCTTCATTGTACTCAATTGTTTTTGATAATACATATGTGTAAACGAAAATGTAAGTATACAGGGTGATAAAAAACTTCACGCTCTTTCAGAGTATATCATTATTTTTGTAAAAATACGTTTTTATGGTTATAATTTTACTCGAAATACAAATTTCAACTTGTTTTTTTTTCCCCACGTATATAGTAAAATATGAGAAACACAAGCAAAAACTGAATTATGCTTGATTAATATCAAAATTTATTCGGTTTTTTTTAACTTTCTTTTCTTTAATACAAAAAAAAACGCTAACAAAAACACGACGGACCAGAATTTTTGTATACAGAAAAAAGGATGAAACAGATACCAATTTTTCTGCTGTTTTACAACGATATTCTTTATCAGGATCGGGAAAAAACAACAAACAATAGCTATTTCACGAATAATTACTGGGTGTAGATTGTCCAGAGGATGAACTAAAAATTGGTGAAATCGAAAGATCAACTTTGCCTTTATTGAGATCAAGCGGAGGTTCTAAACAAAACAAAAGAACTACATCTAATTTTTATATAAAAACAAATATCTTTACCTTCTTGTCCAGGTTGTGACATAAGCATTTGACTGTATCGATTAATCAATATACCTGTTCCTTCAATCATAGCAAGAATAAATCCACCAATAATAGCTGAACCAACCATAGCACCGGGCCCCTCTAAAAAAGAATTCAAGATAATCTTTTTAAATATAATTCAAAAATTTAATTTACGTCGAGCTTGTAAAACTGCACCAGTTAACGCACCACTCATGATCGAATTCCATGGATCTTCTTTTTTTCTCAAATAAACAAAACTACAATCAGCCAATGAAAATATGCATCCCCATGCACTAAACGATGCTAAAAAAAATGACTAAACATTAAAATATGATCTATCACATATTACAAAAATTACCTCCAACACGAGGTGCTCGTTGTTTTACTGCATTTAAACTACCCAATAAACGTCGATATTGACCCTAGAGAAAATCAAATTCAGAATATTGAATTTTTTCATAAATAAATTTTTTTTACACTCGGTGCATGACGAAATCCTTTAATTGAATGAAAAAGTGTACCACCAATTGCTCCTAAAGCAAATGCACCACCACAATCATCCACAATACGCCAAGGACTATTATTTAATAAAATAAAATCATCTAAAAAAATTTTCTTTATTTAATATAATCTTACCAAGGTTCTCGATCCATTCTTGTATCTTTTGTTTTTTTGTTTCTTTTGTCAATTAGATATTAATGACAATATTCATCTAAAACAAACCGATAAAACACATTTTTGAATTTTTTTTTTCTTTTTCTTTATGAAGTAATACAAGAAAAAAAGAAGTTATATACAATGCTTAGAGATTACAATTGCGTACATTAAAGAAATGAAAAAAGAAAAAGATATTTTAACTAAGTGTTTGATTTAGGAAAATATTTAAGTAATAATGTTTGTCGACGTCGTTCAACAATATGTCGTTGATTTTCAATATCCTAAATAATTATATAATCAAAAGAATTTTCATATAAAAATAAATTAAATTTACTCCTCGATTATGTGTTGTTGAACGTTCTATTTGATATGAAAGATTTTCAATTTCAACTTCAAGTTGTGCTTGAATATTTTCAAACTAATATTTTACAATTTGACAAAGAAAAAAAAAACAAAAAAAATTCTATTTATTAAAGTTATTAGTTAATAAACTTACAAGATTTCTATCGACAGTATCTTCTTGATAATATGCATAAGGATATGTGTACATCAATGTATAACGTGCCTAGAACATAATAATTTATAATATAATCACTTGATCTCAGCGTTAACTTGAGTCAATTTTAGATATATTTCAATGATACTTACGAGGGAACGTTTTCAACTCTCCAATCGCTTGTCAATCAAACTATATACATAAGGTAGACTCCAGTGAGATATAAGAAACCCCAACAGGATATGCGCTCTTAGGCCTTCTGTCTAGAGTTATAGGCAATTTACTGAAATTTTAGGCTCTCGTATAGTAAATACCAACAAATCGAATGGCAGTATATCGATCTGAGATTTTGCCTACAGACATGTCTAGTTGTGCGTAAGATATTCTGAAAATTTCAGCTCAAAAGAATGTTTTCTTTCCGAGATATTCAAATCCCAAAAAACAGAAAATTCTAGCATCTTCCGTGGTATATGAGTGATTTTTGGGACTTAAATATCTCGGAAAGGAAACATTCTTTTGAGCTGAAATTTTCAGCGTATCCTACTCACAACTAGACCTATCTGTAGGCAAAATCTCAGATCGAAATACCGTCATTCAATTTGTTGGTATTTACTATGCCAGAGGCTAAAATTTCAGTAAAATGCCTATAACTCTGAACAGAAGGCTTAACGGCACATATCCTGTTGGAGTTTTTCATATCTCACAGGGGTCTACCTTATGCATAGAGGCTGAATTCAAAAGCGATTGGATAGTTCAAAACGTTCCTTCGTTCGTAGATTGAACTGAGAATACTATAATCTTTAGTTCTGGTTAGGACAACCTTTTTTTTCTCGTAGTCCTAGTCTTACAATCTCTATGGAAAACTTCTTCATAATCTTCACACTTCAATTAGAAGCTAATAATAATTTCGTACTGTTGCTAATTTATCGAATTGAAGTCTATCCGAAACTAGACTATTTTCCGATAGCTGCTGATATAAGCATGAAAATTGAAAATATTAATTCTTTCAACTAAAATTTAATATATAGAAAGCTTTCTATCGACAATTACTATTAACATATTTATAAACACTATCTATTAATGAGATTTTTTTTCCTTTGAGAATAAAAAGGTCATTATCTTTTACGACCGGAAATGAAGAAGAGTCATTCTAGAAAATTTCAAGAGAAAGAAAAGACATATTAGTCACTAACTGAAAAGAAAAAATGTATTTTTGAAATTTTAGTTTTGACAAATAATGAATATCATTTAATAATAAAGAACATACTTTTGCTAATGAATCTGCTGCTTTTTCTAGATATTGCCAATCAATATAAGTTCCATTTTGTGCATTTATATTTTGTTCAATTTTTTCTAATAATTTTGCTCGTGTTTGTTCTTCTAATTTTAAACTTCGTTGATGATTATCCCACTTGAAATATTATAAAAATATTAAATATATATAGGTATAACAAAAAAAAAATTCTTTTTTACTCTTTCAAAATAATGTAAATATTTTTTAAGTGCTTCACGTGCACGACTTTGTATTGTTTCTAATTGTGATTGTGGTTGTCCACGATATTTTGAACATTCATAATAATTATTCTCATGTGTTTTCCAATCTTGAAAAAAAAACAATACAATTAAATTTAAAGAAAAAAAACAAAATATTTTGTAAAATTAAATATTTCTCACCTCCAAGACACATCCAACAAAAATGATGATTACATGAAAAACATGACTAAAAAAAATAATATTATTAATATATTAATCAAAATTAATATGTATTTGTTTACCATATGATTGCAACCTAAAATAAACATAATAAAAAATAACAAAACAAAAATTTAATAAGTTTTTCAAGAAAATCTTACCTCCATTTTTTTCAATACACACTTTACATTTTGGACAATCTTTTGTATTAGCTGAAATATAATTTGCTGTTTCCGAATCCTTAATAAAAAAAAAACGAAATCTAATACAATAAAAGAAAAAACATCAACAGTTTACATCTCGACATTTTTTAAACCAATTTCTCATAATATCACAACTAGCCGGTGCATGATAACTCAATGAACATTGAAAACTATAAATAAGATATTTAGTAATTAAATTTTCTTGTTTATTGAAAAAAGTTTTTTTGTTTTTTTTACCAAAATTTTAAACCACATAATTCACATTCAACTTTTCCTGGTATTGGTTTATCTATTGCTTCAAATACTCGATCACATGTTCCAGGACATAATGTCATTTGTGGATTATTCTAAATGAAGTTTTTGGTTTTTTTTTCTTTTAAACTAAATTTATTTTTATACTTGAATCATTGCTTTGACGACTAGTTTTTTATACAATTCTTTTCTACTATCTGACGATAAATGTTGTAGAACAAAACTAAAATATAAATAATTAAAAATGAATTTATGTTTTGTTTTGTTTTGTTTTTTAATACTTATGTGGTACACGTTTATCACACTTCATACATTCATAATCTATTTAAATAATACAACAAATATAATAAATAAAAACAATTTATACAACTTACTAATACAATTTTGATATTGAAATTTCGTATCTATATATTGTGACCAACAATCATAACAAAAAGCATGATTACATATTAATGATTCAAAATTTGTTTGATTTTTAAAACATATCGAACATATATCAGGTGTAGATGATGTATGAATATATGATGATGAAAATGTTGATGGTTCAAAACGTATTTGAATTTCATTTAATGTATTAATTTTATATTCAAACTGTTCGGGATCATTCGTATTAATATTTGTTGTATAATTATTATTATTATCGTCTTGAAATGGATCATTATCATCATAATATGTATCATAACAATCATCATCTATCAAAAAAAAAATGAATGAATGATGATGAATAGAAATATATTAAAATTGATAATTGTTTTAATCTATACCTGTTGCATCACTATTTTCATACTCGTTGTCACTCATGAATGAAAATAAGATATTTTTAAAACTAAAAATATTATTGCTCACTGAATGAATTATAAACGATAAAGATGATGATGTTGTAATAGAATATGCCAGTAAGTAATACGATCGAATCAAAAAATAAACAAAAATATGTCTCTTTAATATAAACCAAAGATATATTGATTTTAATAGATGTCACTCTTATCCGAACTTGAAATTATATATTTATTCAATCGTTTTTTTTTAATTAAATTCTAGAATATGTAAATGAAACTTTAAATATTTATTTATATCATTAATCTGAATTAATTGAATTATTACAGTTACATTTAATCATGTGAATAAAATTCTAATGCTTGACAGAGACTCCCGCAAGGGTCCCAGGATTGGGGGAGGGTGTAAGGCAGTTCCGGAGCAGCCAATATTGAGAGACGCCAAATTTCTTTTGCATCATATCTGATAATCTTTCTGTTGCGACCAAAATGTAACAATTTTTCACGAAGCGACAAGTTTTTGCCATCTTCTTAAAAAAAATCGACTTTCTCTGGCAAATTTTCAAGAGAACTCGTGTCCAATTTGAGAAAATTTCTCAATATATTTGTTGCCGAAGGCGATCACTCTGGTGAAAATCGTTCTAAATTAAGCTGTTTTGAAGAAAACATTGACTAAAGTAGGAAGTTTTTCTAAGATAACTGCAGTTACATAATTGTTATTTTTCGCGAAGTGAAAACTTTTTTCAGACTCATGAACAACTCTTCTTATCCTTATGTTGTTCGAAAAGGAAAGTGTTACAATAACTTTTAGCAATTTTGCCGCCGAAGGCGGCTACGTTAGTGACGATTACTCGAAAATGAAGTTCTTCAAAAGGAAGACAGCAGTAAACTTGCCATAAAAGCGGAAAAATCACAGACGTTTTTAGAGTGAGTACGCTCATGTGATTACTTTTTCGCGAAGCGAAAAGTTTTAACATCTTTTCAGAATTTTCTAGCAGAAAATTCCAAAAACTTTATTCATTTTGCTGGCTAACAATGAATAATTGTCAATTATTGGGGGGGGGGGGGGGCATACTCCCCCCCCCCCCCCCCTCCACTTTTGCGGGGCCTGGCTTGACATGTGAATATCGATGAAGTTTTATCAATGATAATTATTATCCAAAAAATGACAGTAACTTACAGAGTTCCAAACAGGCCACGAGGCCTGCCTGTGACAGGCATAGGCCACGATTTTGAGGCCTGCTCCTATCACAGGCAGGCTGCTTGAAAATGACAGAACGTCTGGCCTGTCTACTTTTTCCTCGAAATCGAAGTTTCAATATGAGAATTTCATGATTTTGTTAGTAAATAGATACAACCTTCAGTAGTTTTCAAAAAATCACATTTAAGCGCGGTGGATAAGACAAATACTGCGAAATGAGTATTAAAGATACTTATAGGAAATCAATGCCCTTACCATTCTGAAGAGATGATGATCACAAATTTTCATAGTTATCATTATCTACTTGTCATGTTTCTCAATTTTAGTTTGATTAATTGATTCTAAATCCTTTTTCTGTTGAAGATTTACCACTGAT